GGGGGGCTGCCCGAAGCCGGTAGCGCTGGCTCGGGCAGCTTGGCTCTTAAACAGAGCCGAAGTCTGAGTCAGGGGAGGAGCAGAGCAGCTGGAGACAGGGAGGAGAAGTGCCCGGCCGGCGGCTGGGGTCCGGAGGCAAGGGGGCTGCCCGAAGCCGGTAGCGCTGGCTCGGGCAGCTTGGCTCTTAAACAGAGCCGAAGTCTGAGTCAGGGGAGGAGCAGAGCAGCTGGAGCCCGGATGGGGAAGTGCCCGGCCGGGGGCACAGGGTCCGGAGGCATAGGGGCTGCCCGAAGCCCGAGCACTACCGGATTCATGGTTTGCCGGGCAGCCTCCAGACCCTGCGCCCCCGGCTGGGCGCTTCCCCTCCTGGGCTCCAGCTGCGCTGGGGAAGCGCCGGCCGGGGGCGCAGGGTCTGGAGGCTGCCCGGCAAACCGTGAAGCCGGTAGCGCTCGGGCAGCCCTTTTCGCGTGGCTGGGAGGGAGGGGGGGGAGTTAGGGCGAGGACTTTGGAGAAGGGGCGGAGTTGGGGCGGGGCCGGGGTGGAGAAAGGAGCGGGGCGGGGCTAGGGCCCGTGGAGTGTCCTCTTTTTTTATTTTTTAAATATGGTAACCCTAAGTTTTGGAATTCGTTTAATTCTTCCATGAACATTTGCATAAACTCTCTCAACTAACATGCAAATCACTGAATACAAATTGAATATCCTTGGTTAGCTTCTCAGAGTATTTCCCACTACTCATTAGAATCGCATCTGTCTTGCTTGTTTTAAGCTTGAGCTTGCTAGCTTTTGTCCATATCTTTATCTCTCGCAGACTCTCTTAACATCTGAATGATACCATGGACTTTTGTGCTGAAAAAGTGACATAAAGCGAGGTGACATTGGAGTCTGCGCTGTCTTACTTCTTCAGGTGTTACTGTGTAGACTGAAAAGGAGGTTAGAAAAGATTTGTTCTTGTCAGACTCCATAAAAGAGGTCTCTTCAGGAAGAGTAGTTGCCCATCCTGACTCTCTGGTATCTTTCTGAGAGGAATGAGTGAAGCTAGGTAGTTCTACAGCCCACACTCAATAGGTCAGTGGAGTTGAATGCTGCTGAGCTCAGCTTGTGGATTCATTCTGAATGGATATTGGAAATTACTGAAGTTGCTAGAGCATTTGAAAAATATAGGACTGTGGAGAGATGTCTCTATCAACATAGAATATAACATACATATTTTGTACTCACTGTAGAAGACTCCCATTGACATCAGTGATTTTAGATCATAGAAGATTAGGGTTGGAAGAGACCTCAAGAGGTCATCTAGTCCAACCCCCTGCTCAAAGCAGGACCAACACCAACTAAATCATCCCAGCCAGGGCTTTGTCAAGCCAGGCCTTAAAAACTTCCAAGGATGGAGATTTCACCACCTACCTAGGTAACCCATTCCAGTGCTTCACCACTCTCCTAGTGAAAAAGTTTTTCCTAATATCCAACCTAAACCTCCCCCACTGCAACTTGAGACCATTGCTGCTTGTTCTGTCATCTGGTACCACTGAGAACAGCCTAGCTCCATCCTCTTTGGAAACCCCCTTCAGGTAGTTGAAGGCTGCTATCAAATCCCCCATCACTCTTCTCTTCTGCAGACTCAATAAGCCCAGTTCCCTCAGCCTCTCCTCGTAAGTCATGTGCCCCAGCCCCCGGATCATTTTCTTGTTGCCCTCCTCTGGACTCTCTCCAGTTTGTCCACATCCTTTCTGTAATGGGAGGGGGGGCCCACAAAACTGGACACAATACTCCAGATGTGGCCTCACCAGTGCCAAATAGAGGGGAATAATCACTTCCCTTGATCTGCTGGCAATGCTCATACTAATGCAGCCCAATATGCCGTTAGCCTTCTTGGCAACAAGGGCACACTGTTGACTCATATCCAGCTTCTCATCCACTGTAATCCCCAGGTCCTTTTCTGCAGAACTGCCACTTAGCCAGTTGTTCCCTAGCCTGTAGAAGTGCATGGGATTCTTCCGTTCTAAGTGCAGGACTCTGCACTTGTCCTTGTTGAACTCCTCAGATTTCTTTTGGCCCAATCCTCCAATTTGTCTAGGTCACACTGGACCCTATCCCTACCCTCCAGCATATCTACCTCTCCCCCCAGCTTAATGTCATCCGCAAACTTGCTGAGGGTACAATCCATCCCATCATCCAGATCAGGGGTAGGCAAACTTTTTGGACCAAGGGCCACATCTGGGTATGGAAATTGTATGGTGGGCCATGAATGCTCACTAAATTGGGGTTGGGGTTCAGGAGGGGGTAAAGGCTCTTGCTGGGCGTGCGGGTTCTGGGGTAGGGCCAGAAAAGAGGAGTTCAGGGTGTGGGAGGAGGTTCCGGGCTGGGGCAGGGCGGGGGTGAGGGCTCTGGCTGGAAGTGCGGGCTCTGGGGTGGGGCTGGGGATGAGGGATTTGGGGTGTAGCAGGGTGCTCTGGGCTGGGACTGAGGGGTTCCGAGGGCAGGAGGGGGTCAGGGGTGCAGGCTCTGGGCGGCGCTTACCTCAAGCAGCTCCCGGAAGCAGCAGCACGTCCCCCTCCCACTCCTACGCGGAGGCGCGACCAGGTGGCTCTGCGTGCTGCCCCATCCGCAGGCGCCACCCCTGCAATTCTCATTGGCTGCAGTTCCTGGCCAGTGGGAGCTGCAGGGGCGGCGACTGCAGACAGGGCAGCGCGTGGAGCCCCGTGGCTGCCCCTAAACGTAGGAGCCAGAGGGGGGACATGCCGCTGCTTCCGGGAGCCACGGCACACATGCACGGAGCAGCCCCCAACCCTGATCCCCAGCTGGAGCATGGGAGCGGAACAAGCCCCAGACCCCGCTCCCCAGCGGGAGTTGAGGGCCGCATTAAATCAACTGGAGGGCTTGATGTGGCCCACGGGCCATAGTTTGCCCACCCCCAATCTAGATCATTAATGAAGATTTTGAACAAAACCGGCCCCAGGACCGACCTTGGGGCACTCCGCTTGATACCAGCTACCAACTAGATGTAGCCAGCTTTCTATCCACCTTATAGTCCATTCATCCAATTCATACTTTTTTAAATTGCTGGCAAGAATATTGTATTAAAAGCTTTGCTAAAGTCAAGATATATCACGTCCACCGCTTTCCCCATATCCACAGAGCCAGTTATCTCATCATAGAAGGCCATACTGCCTTTCATTCAAGGATCTGAAGTCTCTTTACAAAGATGAATACATGTAATTATCCCCATTTTAAGGATGGGGAAATGGAGGCACAGAGGACTAACAAGACTTTGTCCATGGGTGCAAAATTCATTGAAGAGCTGCAAATAGAACTCCTATTTCCTAGTTATATGACTGATATATGTTGTCTGCCTTTATGCTTCTGTTTATATTAGGTATCTTAGAACTAGTGTAAAATATCTCTTAACAAAAACAGATAAGCCAAACATTCATTCTCATTGAAAAGGTTTTAAATAAATTAGATCAGAAAAGAGTTTGATATCTTATTACTTGAAAATAAATTGTGTTCTTTTGTTGCTTTGTTTCCTGTTATAAAACAGAATTCATTTTACTTTGAACAATATCATCAAATTGATAAAGCCATTATTTTAGGCTCACCACTTATATTAAGTTATATAATGCTATTAAGACACAAGGGACAATGATACAGTTTTCAGTGACTCGAGACACTGTGTAAAAGCATATTGAGGGTTTTTTATTATTTTTTTCATTCAGTGAGATTGACCAAGTGGAAATAGTAGAAAGACTTCTAGTTTTGTGTTTTGTTTTTTAACTAATATGCTAGTACTCACAGTTCTTTAGATATGGATGAATGCAACCTGAATCTAACAAGGTTATTAAAAAATTTTACAGGATGAAAGACTAACTTACGGTCTGATATCTGTTCAGTGTGCTCGAGGGAAACTGCTTGAATGTACTTAGAAGGTTAATTGTTTAAAAGATGTAGAAAATCAAGGTCTCTCTATTTCAGTGCATTATGCCCTGTAGTGGTGGACAACAGAGTATTAAAGGACAAATAGTCAGTGATTATTGTTCTCCAGTTAATCAGTTCATTTCAGGAGTAAAGCTATCTTAATTGAAAGATATAAAATGTCTTTCTACAGATATATATTATGCCATCATATTTCTCCCTGGAGAAGAATAAAGGAATAAAGAGGAGAATAGTTAGAGTTTGTGAAATATAAACTTGAAAATCCTAAACAGATTTTATTAAACTACTAAAGGTTCTCTCCTATTCCTTTAGTTCTTGTATGATGAAAGGAAAGGGTTTTTTGTTGTTACTACTTGTTCTTCCTTTTTTGTTCTTCAGTATCTTCTCTTCGGTGATTAATAAGTACTACTAGTACATATGAAACATTAATTTTCACAATAAAATAGGAAAATTTTGAAAACATTCAAACTTGAATACAGTATATCATAAAGGATTTGGACAATGTGGATATTAAATCATTTTTGTTACCAATACACTGTGCAGCTGAGTAAATGCATTTTAATGTTATTTTGCTATTGCAGTTTGTCTCTTCATAATGAACCAAGATTCACATATCTGAGTAGTGTCAGTAGTGCTGACTCATAGATTATTCTTAGAATGTGTAGTTTTAGGGCCAGGTCTTAGCTTCAGTAGACCTATGCCAGTTTATGCCAACTGAGGATCAGCTTCTGCTGCAGAAATTTTAATAAACCAACTCTGAAATACTTGTGATTTTCACATCCTTGCCATCCTTTGGTAAATATTTTTTTCTTTCATTGACAAATCCAATCAGACTAGGCCCTATATTCATAATTAGCAAATTTAACTCCTACATCTTTACTTTCTCTTTGCGTTTCCAAATCACTGTGCGCGTTTTACATAAGAAAAGCAGCTGTATCTCTTTCCTCATTGATCTCTCAAGTCTTTATGTATATTTAGGACTTCTTAAATAATAGTTCCATTGATGATCATCATATCCAACCTCCTCTTTTCTCATTCCCTCAGATAGGATAGGGAGCGCTCTTTATGTTTCCATTTAATTGTTATTGCTGATAACTTCTTTAAAAAAATGTAGTCTATTATTTAAACTTTTTCTAAATAAGTAGCCATTGTGACATAGCATATTCACTTGCTTCCATTCATTTTATTGTTATTTATCCAGAAAATCTGACTAATTTCCTAATCTCCATGCCTTGGTTTATTTCAGCAGATTGGTTATACTCTGCCTCTATAGCTATTATTATATACATTTCATAAAAATAAAAGGGGCATCTGGTATTTGTCTTTACTGGAATTTATCAGGGTATATATGTGCATTTCAAGGTAAGATTCTTCGTACACATAATCAGCGTTCCTGTTTCTAAGCATAGTGCTATTTATCATTTTACACTTTCAAAATCTTGTTCAGACATTTGGCCCAGTGCTGCTCCCAAAGAAGTCAATAGCAACATTCTCACAAATTACTACTCTGAACATCCTTTACTGGGGATGTGTTATTTCTAAGAATAGGTATCTTTTGAGGACACTTGTTTCTGGAGAAAGGGAATTTATTTATCTGAAGATTTTCTCTGGAGATTTTCATGAAGTCCTGTATCAAGTCCAATAAATTGGGATAGAACTAAAGCAATACCACTCAAGATGTGTGGCCTGATTGCTTCATTTAAGGGTTGTTTCTAAATTTCTTATAAATCACTTAACTTCTTCATTAATCAGATAGTGACCGGGGTTTCAAAAAAATCTCTTATGCCCTGATCCCAGAAGCTGTGTTCTGCTGGCAGATCTCATACAGAGCCCCAGTGATTTCAAGGAAACACTGCCCATGTTCAATACGTTGAAGGATCAGGGCCTCATTCTACTGAATTGTTATATCCAGTTCTTAAAATACTCTTTCATTATAACAAGGTATGAAAGAGAAAAATGAACACACACATACACAGGTAAATGCAACAAATACTAGTTATATAAAAAATGTGGAATGATACATAATCTCTGTATTCTAATGAGGATTCTCTCTTACAATATCAATGACATGTCATTGAGTAATATGAGTGGTAATACTAGTTATCTTCACTATTCCCTCATTCCTATGACTCACAAGATGACTTTTATATCATGAGGCAGTTATGACCAGGGCCGGCTCTAGCTTTTTTGCCGCCTCAAGCAGCGAAAAAAAAAAAAAAGCCGCGATCAGCGGCACTTCGGCGGCTGCTCTCCCGCGCCGCTTCATTCTTCGGCGGCAATTCGGCGGCCGGTCCTTCCCTCCTAGAGGGACTGAGGACTTGCCGCTGAAGACCTGGACGTGCCGCCCCCTTCCATGGGCTGCGCTGGAGCCTGGAGCCAGCCCTGGTTATGACCATATATATCATTTGCATATTATAAAGTTGCTGTCTGATACTGAGACCTCACACTATGGGCAATTCTTGCTCCCAGTGGCTCCAGTATAAAGTACACCATTAGAGTTGGTTTGAAAACACACACTCATAGCAATGTTTTATTTTCATGTAATTGCAAAATTGCATCTATGGAAAGTGCAGCTTGGGAAAAACTAATTTTATATGTATATTTCTTCATATAAAATATATACATTTATAATATATATATATAAAATCCATGTGCCTACCTTACTTTCTAGTCCATTTTTCCCTAAAGTTTCTGGTTTTATTTTTCATGCCTTTTTCCTCATGATATTTTCCACTAACTCATTGGGGGGTTTTCTGTGTGTTCTTGTACTAATTGCAATTAACAAGTGAATGTTTTATATGGAAAGTGTATGATAACTAAAATAACATCACTGATTTGAATACTATAATTACCTTTCTAACATTATAAACATAGGATGCATGAATTCATATCTTAAGTATTTGCTGCATAATGCATTTCTCTTCCCCCTCCCCAAATACTGACTATAAAATGGTTTATTTGATAAAGCTTTTGTAAAGCAATTAGAGCCTTAACTAATTGTCTTATTCTAATGGTTTTTAAGCGTGCAGATGACATCTCAAGTTTGCTATCTGATACCACACTGCTTGTGCATTTTTTTGGCAAGAAGGGAAAAGCTGAGCTAAACTTTGACGATTTTTATAGGTGAGCTTTGATTTTATACTTTCTATATAAACAAAGCCCTCCATATATGTTAGTAAATAATATATACATAATACATCTAGTTAAAGAAGGTAACTCTTTATAAGCATCTTTTTTTATCAGACATTTCTTTAGCTTTAGCTTTTCTGCTGAAAAGGTTTAAAACAAGGATGAAGAAAATTTTAAGACAATACACAGAATTCAAAATTTGTTAGGTTGTTTTGGTTTGGTTTTAATAAAGGTCAAATATCATCAGATTTTGTAAGCTAATCAATTAGAGAAGGTCATTAGTTACATATGTTGACTCAAAGAAATGCTGTGCTATAGGAAGCAGTGTTTGTGGTCCAGTAGGTGGTATTCTTGCCCCTCCCCAGTACTGAATTAATGCCCACTCCTGTGTCAGCGTGTACTTGGCTGTACTGGGCTACAGGAGATGCAGCACTTAAATTGTGTTTTTTTTCTCCTTCCCCTCTTCCTGCTTGTTACATTTTCTGTTTAGATTGTAACCTCTTTGGGTCAGAGATTTTGTCTTCACATCTATCTCTTCTGCTAGGGACATACAGTGGTTATAATTTAAAAGTAAAAAATTGCCAAAAGATACTACACAGGTTTTCACAGATCCAGTTGCCTGCCCCCTTATGACCTCTCACAAACTAGATTGCTGTGAGGGAATCCAACCATCTGGATATTTTAAGCTTCCCTGGATCTTAGCAGGCTGAAGCACTGTTGCTTCCCTTGGTGTCTCTGGTACATTTCTTGAACATTGACTCTGTCTGTTACCCCTTGATGGAAATAGAGACCCTCAGTCCACCTGCCTAGGCTCCCAGGTCCAGCACTGACCCCCAAGATACTCCAGTAGCTTAAACACATGGCATAGGCACTGATTCCGTGGGTCCTCCAGGGCTCAAGCACCCACCAAAAAAAAAGAGGGGTTCTTAGCACCCACAAGGCACCAGTAGGTGGCAAGAGCACGTACACGGCACCCAGTGAAACCAGAAGCCCCCCCCCCCCCCCCCCCATGGCAAAAACAAAAGTCAGCGCCTGTGCCTGACACACATGGTCTCCAGAATCCCACCAAGGGGGTGAGCCTTCAGGGTTACAGTTTAATTCTTTCTGGTGACATGTAGTAAGTATAGCGTATAACAGACAGGCAGACTTTGCACAAGTTCTAACACATTAATGTTCTTTATTTAATCAGACAAGAAATACACAGATCCGTACAAGAAATAATAAATCTTATACTCATTTCCCCTCACTCTAGCTCACTCTTTCTTTGGGGGACCATCCGTGTTCAGAGAAGCAGGGTCTCCACTCCTCCTGCCTTATCAGCTCCTTACAGCAGTTTAGCACATCTTTAAGATGGTGAAAAATGGCCAGAGAGAGAGAGCAAATAGATTAAGTCCCACCTATTATAACTTGCCAGTCTTTCTGTGAGGTGACTCCTGAATCAGCCTCCACAGGTGATCCAAGACCCTTACCGGGTGACTTCATTGTTAGGTGACCTCTCCCCTGATAAACCATTTCTCCTGGTAGGGATCCTGTTTTTTCTCTGGAACAATTAAATTTCAGTGGCTGGCCATCCAGATTTAACAGCCTTCTGTTGTCAACCCTGTACCACTACCTTGTTGGAATTTCAGTCCAACATGGAGGTAGCAGGACAACAACGAAGAACCCCATATTCTGAATGGAGCCTGTAGTCTGGTAAAGATACATTCTCAGAGTTTACAGTTTCAGAGAGAATTAATAAATTGTACAGACAGATTCCCCAAATTGTTGCAACAGGTACCATAATTATTACCTATTACGAGTGTAGGTGAAAACTGATTCTAATGGCACTTAAAAGAACATTACTAAGTATAGTTGTGCCACAAAAAAATTGCACCATTGATCAAACTAAAAAAATATGTTTCTGCCAGATTCAAACAAGTAGAAAGTTTGGCTTCTGCTTCTACACCAGTACTACCAGTGCTTACTTTTTATATGCTTATCCCTTACCTACCTAAAAAGGGGTTTTGTGAGGTTTAATTACTGAATTTGTGAAGTGCTTTGAGATCTCTGGATGAAAGGAGTTGTAGAAGTGCAAAGTACTTTTTGTTCCATATGTATTATATTTGTGCTTTAGATTTATGGATAACCTACAAACTGAAGTTCTAGAAATAGAATTCCTTTCCTATTCTAATGGGATGAACACCATCAGTGAGGAAGACTTTGCTCATATTCTTTTGAGATATACAAATGTGGAAAATACATCAAGTTACCTGGAAAATGTACGTTGCAGGATCCCTGAAGAAAAGGTAGGTGCTCAGATACTACAGTGATGTGCAGCAGATAAAACCCCAAAATCCTAAAGATGAATCCTAGTGCCATTGAAGTCAATGGGAGTTTTGTCATTGACTTCAGTGGCACCAGGATTTCACCTTAAGTATCTTTGATCATCTGCTTTGAATCTTCTGCTTTACAAAATCCACACTGAATGACACAATATTTAATTTGTAAAATGTGTAGCATTAAATAACAAGGAACCATGTCAGGGAAATTATCCAATAATTATTTTCAAGGTGTTTAAAGACAGTGGCTTAAGACTATATTAAATCTCCAGTTTAAACAACAATATGCTAGTGCTGTAAGGAAATGAAATTTCCTAATATTGAGGCTTTTCAGCTTTAGTGAAAAATCACATTTTTTCTGACTTTTTCTCTTTGCTACCACCTGAATATCACCTTTTCAAAAACAATATTGACACTCTTTATCTAGTTCTATAATAGTCTTAATAGTGGGTCATTTGTAGATAGCCATTGATGAGTGAGTGTTTCTTATCAGTGGCTGAAGAGATATTTTAAAAGAATTTGTGAACTAAGAACAATAAAGAACATTAGGTAGTTAATCCTTCATTATTTAGCAGCAAATGTGTTGTCAGTAGTGTATCTGAGCAGTAGAAAAATCTAGTGGTAGCTGAATGCATCAGTGCAAATCAATAGAGCTTGTGTTACAAGTACCCCTTAGAGCATGGGATGTTTTGGATATATTTCTTCTACTTGTGTTTATAGAAGGATCAGGTTAATATGTCCTTGCAAACAGTCTGACTTTGTTTAAAATGGCTACACATTTTGATAATATTGACAGTTCCGCTTGTGGAACTAAAAGCACTAAGTATGCTTTGGCAATTACCTTAATTTGTTAGTCTGAAAAAACAAACCATTAAAATATCATAAAATAGCTAGGACATTTAAAAAATTAAAATTAAAACAAAATGCTGAATGTAAAGCTGGAGTTATATTTATAACAGGTGCCTTAAGTAAGCATACAAAAATGAGTGGTTTGAGCATTGGCCTGCTAAACCCAGGGTTGTGAGTTCAATCCTTGAGGGGGCCATTTAAGGATCTGGGGCAAAAATCTGTCTGGGGATTGGTCCTGCTTTGAGCAGGGGGTTGGACTAGATGACCTCCTGAGGTCCCTTCCAACCCTGATATTCTATAATTCTATGAATGTTGTTATAGTTTATGTGAGACACAGCAATTGCTCTGGGTGAGATGTCACAACCCTTACTCAGCTGTACAAGGAAGTAAGGTTACTCATCTGTTACTCCTCCCAATCTCACTCTTATTCCCTGGGGTGGAAAGCATGAGGAGCCCTTGCTCTGCACAATCAGAGTTTGCTCTGCACAATCAGATCCACTTGCCAGCCAGAGGAGCTGACTTGGTACATGGCACAGGAGGAGCAATCTGCTTCATAAAAAGGGGTGAAGAAATTCACTCACTCTCCAGATCAAGGGGGAGCAGAGAAGAAATGGTTACTTTCCAAGAAACAGTTTATTCTCTGGTCTGCTCCTAGGGCAATGCAACTACTCACTGCCCCTTACTCGGGGTACAAACTAGTCCTCTGGGGGCCCAGATCTAAAGAAGGGCCAAAAAGTGCATATGGCTTTCACTATTTGAAAGCCTTTGCAATGCCATATAAATGGATTTTGCTTTATTATGTTATGGGTTTTTTTGCTGTGTGGCAGCCAGATGTATTTTGTTGTTGAAATCAAACCTTATGTATATGGGAGAAGGCTTGTTTGGAAAAACAGAAGGTTGTTGTTAAAATTCTTTATTTTTAATACCACAATAATATATATAGCACATAGGTAGTGGGAAATAATGGCACACAATCATGGATATAGAGATAAACATGTATATAACTGTCTAAGGTGACAGTGTAGTTTAAAAGAAAAGATTTGTATTTGTATTGATATATACATAAGAAATACTCTTTGAAGTTCAGTATCTCACTTCTCCATGTCACTGTTTTGGGTGGGAAAAGTCTTTAACTTAGTAGTCTCCCTTCCTTCTCTTGGCTGTGCTCTGTAACAGAACCATCAGCCAGGGAAACTACCTTGTCAGCCCACATGTTCCCGATAAGTTTTCTCTGCTGGCTAGTAAGCTCTGTCATCTGAATGAGATCTTACGTACATGTTAGTTTTAGGGATTCCGTGTCCCTTCATATAATTCCCATAATTCTAAATGCAATATGCTGTGCTACATCTCCGTTTTCTACAGTTACATACTATTGATTCTGAAAATATACACTCGCAACTGTAGCTAAAGTAACTCCTTAGACTAGGGCTCACAGATACTCTGCAGACTTTCAAAAATGGGACTTAGGCGTCTAAGTCATTAGGTCCTTTTAAAAATTTTAACCTTTATGACTGATATCTTATTTTTGTATTATAATATTAAGTCTTCACTATTGCAAAAACAGAATGTTTGATTATTATAAAATTCTCCAACAGTAAAGCAAAACTAAGAACTCCGTTTTCAAAGAAATGGCTCCAGACTATTATGCTGCTATATTCACAATTGGCACGGTTAGTCTTTTTGTGACTTTCTATATGCAGAAGACCATAAAACAATGTGATGATCGTTTGGCTGACTACACTCATGTTGACGCATTTGGCTGGCATGCTGCCTGCTCACAAGATGTTCTACTTTTGCTAACTAGGTGCCAAATACTGATTCATTTAGACTGGCAGTTTTAATTACACTACAAATAGCAGCGCTTAAAGGAAGTTCGTCTTTTTAACTGCCACATTCATGTCACAATCCACTTTGTTGTGCTAAAAATATAATCTGTCCAGTGAAATGAATAAATTTGCCTTCACTTTTACCTGGAAACTAAATAGGAACCTGGGAAATCCATTTAGATTATTTCACATGTCAAAATATATGCAGAATTAGATTATTACTCTTTTATAGATGTTCAGTTTTACAAATAAATTATTTTAGGAACAGAAAAAGACATCCAACTCTGTATGTCTAGGACACCTCCCTTTTTTTAGTTTAGTTTAATTTTTTCCTTTCTCTCTCTCTCTCTTTCTCCTTCCCCAGCTTTAAGGTGAGCTGTTGTAGCAAATGTTGTGGGACCTGCTCTTGAGAGATACTGAGCATCTGGAACTGCAGTTTATTTCAGTGAAAGTTGTATTGTACAGAGATCACACTATTTATTTTTATTGGCATTAATGCAAAAATTGTGGAGTACATGCACTTTACGTGATCCTGGCCACACAGAGAGAATGACAAGATGTGAGGGATGCAGTTTAAATACGCACAACTGTATTAACTCATCTGGGAACTACCCGGTAATAACTCTCACAGTGCATGTCATCATTCCTTCCTTAATCATTTCTACTTACATTTGGGGAGATCTGTTGTTAGCCCTCCTTGGTCCCAGCCCATTGCTGGGACCTTCCCCTCATAAGAGGGTTAAGGGACTGGGGAAAGAGGGTTGTCTCCCAGCTGTGCCAGATGTAGGAACCCCTTTCTCAGCTTCCTTGTGTGATGCCTTCCCTTAAACTGGATTTGGAAATGGGGTTATCAGAGAACCAGACCCCCTACAGAATGAGTACTTGCACTGGGCACCTGTCAACTGTTAAGTTGTGACAGCTTGAACCATACCTCCTTACCTACCCTGCCAGGTCCCTGACCTGCTGTGGGAAAGATGAGAAAATCCACCCCACTATGACCAGTCTGTCAGTGAGGGGGTAAATTCCTTCCCAGCTCCGAAAAAGGTGACTAGAGCAATGTCCATAGCAGACCATAATACCTGGTCCTACTCTGATCCCATAGATGGGAGAGTAGGTGCTGCTGCTATGATATGAAAGAGGGCTTTGCCTAGAGAGAACAGAATATAAATACCCTCCCTCCCTCAGATGTGCATGGTCCAGAGGATCACCTGAGTCCCTTTTGTCTGCTCCTGACTCAGGTGATACTTTTCCTCCCCTCCCCTCTTCCCCCCTTCTTTGGGTTAAACCCTTAAAGGAGCCACAACTCCTTTTATTCCCAATGGCCAGACAAAATCCCTCTAGATTTAAGGTTGTGGGACGTACACTGGGATGCTGGTGAGGGCCTTCTTCAGTCAAATCACATAAACCACTTTACCCTGAATATCAACTCATACAAGGCTACAGTTTTCATGGCAGCTCAGAAGATTGAAGCTGCAAAATGTATTGTGTATAGACCAATGGTTCTCGTAACCTTTTCCATACCAGGACATCCCCATTTAGACAGGCCTCCCTCCCATTTAGCAATATGGGAAGGGCAGATTGGTCATTCACATCTACTAGTTTGAGATCGCTATAGCAAACCAGATCCAGGCTCCACAATTTTAGCCAGAACTTCATGAGAAATTCCAGAGTTTCTAAATCAACATAAACTTCAGATGTTCTCAATCTACTCATGGGCATTTTTAGTTGCAGTGAAGATCAAATCTATCATAATTGTACATATTTATAATTAATTCTCACTACTGGTAACTCAGAGCATGTTGTGCAAAGTTCAATGATATTTTAATTCATGATTTGACTTGACAAATACAATTATCTTTTCTTTCATTTAAAACCAAACAAAATCCAACTTCAATACAGTAGCCAGATTGTAATTTTATTGCATTTTACTATTCAGGCTTAATCCATCTGAAAGCCTCTGTGATCTGTTTGGGTATTTAAACCTCAGTGTCTTTCAGATGATATTTCCTCGTGAGACAGCCATTCAGCAAAATGGTTGGACTACTGCTGAAGCCAAAATAAAAAAGCAAAATGCAGCTGTGCAGCCACAAGTTGGGAAATTTATAGGAGGCAGAAAAATCATTGCAGTTCTGAGCAGTTACCATAACTTGTATAACAGTCATGTACAGCTGTGGTTGGACAGAGCTTTCAGCTCAGCAATTTATACTCCATTGTTTTGGGATGTACAGATTTGTATTTTATGAGCTTTGGCCATAGTGGATGTGTGGATGGGTTTGTTCATTTGTTGTGGGTAAGGAAATTAGGAAAGAAGTCAAAACACTTTCTCCTTTGGGTCAACCCTCTCATTGTGATTTTTGGTTTGTTAAATGATTCGCTACTTTATTCCTGATGAGGGCCAGGGAGTGAGATTTGACTTCTTATCTCATCATCAACATTAATCTTATCCTTTGAGAATCTGGATGGAAAGGCTATATGAATACAAAGTACTGTATTCATGTTTAATGAATTTAGCCTGACCACAGTCATGCTGAAAACTAAAACACACCACGAGTTTGTGACTTGTCCAGGAGGTACACAGGAAGTCTGAGAGAGAACCAGGAATAGCACCTAGTTTCCTGATTCCAATGCCAGTTTCACTAGGACTACTTACATGTGTGAGGGACCACCTGTGCTTAATGTATTGCAAGAATGGGCTGGTAAAGGCCAGAGGATGATATAAACTGCTTTCCCAGGTATATCTAAAACAGGAATAGAACTGGGGAAGTAAAACTGTTGCCCACTGTGGATGAAATCACCCACATAGTCAGATATATGTAGATGTCCTGAACCCATCCAGCATGATAATTTACATCAATTCTCAAGGCTAGGCAAAAGACGAGACATTATTCTTAGGAAGGGTCATTGTGGAATGCTAATGAGATGTTTCACACTCCATCCCCTTCAGTTTCAAATGCCCTCTCCATCTGTAGAGAAGGAACCAAAGGAGGGCGAGAGAGAGATGAAAGCTTGCACCAGACGTGCCTACCCAGCTAAGTACGTAGGCACTTCCTGTTATTGGTGGGCCTGCTAAGGTCTGCCAGAGTAACCTCTATTGTTACAAATATGATGATTTCCATAAAGTCAAACTGTTTGCAGGTATTTCTAGGACATGTTAACCTGATCCTTCTATAAATACAAATAGAAGAAATATATACAAAACATCCACTGACACCATAGCAGGTTCATGGGAAGTAGGCATGTGGGCATGAAGCCAGAGGGGGAGACAGTTCCATTTCCCAGCTCCTCTGGCCTTTCCTCTCCTTGACTTGCCTATAAGACATCTCAAATTATTATTATTTGTATTACCATTGCATTTAGGAGCCATAGTCATGGACCAGGACCCCATTGTGCCAGGCACTATACAAACACAGAACAAAAAGATGATCCTTGCCTCACAGAGCTTACATTTAAGTATAAGACTAGAAACTGGTGGACATAGATGGGTAAATGGGGGAGTACAAGGAGAGTGGGGTGACAATAGGGCTCAGCATGATAGGCAGTGGCATAGTAGGCATCAAGTGTTGTGTAGGCATCACGGCTAAGGAGGGTTTTAGAGGAAGATAATGAGAGAGCTTTGCAGACGTTTATGGGGAGGAACAGCATGGGATAAAGCAAGAAAATTTAAAAAATGTGTGATGGAGGCTGGCATCATGGGCTGATTGAAGGTGGAGGCTGACCCCTCAATAGTAAATGAAAGTTGATAGGGTAGTATGGGGATAAGGGCCTTGAAAGTGAAGACAAGAAAGTTACATTTGATGCAATAGAGAAGGGTGAGCTAGTGAAGGGATACAAAGAGAGGGGTAACATAGTCAAAGTGATAGGCTAGGAAAATGATCTCAGCATTCTGAATGGAAATGAGTGGGAAAAGATTGCAATTGTTGAGGCTAGAGAAAAGGATGTTGCGGTAATCGAGGTGCAAGATCATGTGATCATGGATAAGTTTTAGCTGTGTGGATGGATAGGAAAAGCTTTATCTTAGAGATGTGATGCAGAAAGAATTGGCAAGATTTAGACATAGACTGGATTTGAAGACCTAGAGGGAGGTCTGAGTCAAACAGAGTTACAGACCTAAATGACAGGTAGGATAGGTAGGATAATGGTTTTTCCACAATGGTTGAGAGAGGAGGTAACAGGGAGGGTTTTGGAGGGAAGATTAAGAACTCTGTTTTAGACATATTGAGCTTGAACTGACAGCTAGACATCCATGAGCAGATGTTAGAGAAACAGGCCAAGATTTTAGTTTGCAAAGACACACACAGGTCTGGAGTAGAGAGGTACATCTGTGAATTGTCAGCATGGAGATGGTAGTAGAATTTGTATTTGCAGATGAGATTACCCAGTGATAAGAGGGAGGGAGAAGAGAAGGGGAGCAAGGACAGAACCCTGTGGAGCCCGTAGAGAAAACTGGAGAGCAGATGAGGAATATTCTCCAAAGGACACACTGAAGAAGTGATTAGAGAGGTAGAAGGAGAACTAGGAGAGGACAGTCATGGAAGTAAAGGGAGGACAAGACCTCAAGAAGAAGAGCATGGTCAACAGTGGCGAAGGCATCTGAAAGGTCAATGAGCATGAGGATGGAGTACTGGTTCTGATTTAATCTTCCATAAAAGCTGAGATCGGGGGAGGCAATACATGCAGCAAGTAGTTGAGATCTCTTGTGGAGTGGGGCTGGGGTTTGAAGTTAGTGATCAGGGCTATAGATTTGGAGCCAAAACTAGAGAGGGAGCAGAAGAGCCAGTAAAAAAGAAAAAGAAAAATCATTGGTGCTCATTTAAAAACTACACACCCAGCAGATTAATCAATGCTCAAATCCTGGCTAACACTCAGAACTTGTCTTGCAAAACAGAAGGAGCCCCTCCAATATAAGCTTGTGAGCATCTGCTGAAGAAAGCTCAAGTATCTACAAATGTGAATATGTAAAAATTCACAGGAAAGAACTGAACTCAGACTCACAACATGTACTTATGAATTCATTCAGCGTATCTGTAACTATTTACCTGAAGAAGAGCTCTGTGTAAGCTCAAACGCATGTCACTCTCACCAGCAGAAGTTGGCCCAATATATTACCTCACTCACCTTGTATCTCTTAATATCCTGGGTTAATATCCAACATGGCTACAATAATACTTCATACTGTTTATATATCTATACTCATGATGTATATATTAAACTGTAAAGATATTCCAATATTTATATAAAAGTACCTTAATGGTTACTTTATCATAATAATTTTCTTAGTTTAAGGGTTATGTTAATCAGTGAAACAACCTAACTGTAAGTTAATGTTTTTTCAGTGAAAATTAACTTCCTGTAATTGTGACAAACATGCAGAAGTGTTATATCTGTAGGAACTCATGTTGGTACAAGTCTTGCTTTCATTGATGTCAGTTGCAAAATTCCTATTTATTGTAATGGATGTTGAATATGTCCCTAAATGAAATAGCCATATGCAAGCTTCCAACTGGTGTTTATTCACTTGTCATTTCTACTGATTATTCTAACAATACTAATGCAAATATGGTTCTTTTATTCAATAGGGTATCACATTTGATGAGTTCAGATCATTTTTCCAGTTTTTGAACAACCTAGAAGATTTTGCAATTGCAATGCAAATGTATAATTTTGCAAATCGTTCTATAGGACAAGGTGAGAATTATTACTATTTTGTTAGTAAGTGATAAAAACAGATCTTTTGTGCAACTTGCAGTCCTGCACTTGTCCTAACAATTTTTCATCATAACTGGATATTACTAGGAAAATAGGATATAACTGTTTTACTTGATATTTGAAAATAAAAATACATCTGCTGTTTATCAGAAGATAGTGCTGTCTTTTTCACCACTTTAGGTGAACATTGTCATTTAAACAGATGCCATCAGTGCAACCTAATTTAATCATTCTTTTTCCTTTAAAAATTGAAAAATATTTAGCTGAATTTGATTAATACTAATTATTTCCTTATTTTGCTAATTAATGTTTTATTAGTGTGCCTAGAGATCTGTTGCAATTTTAGAAGATATTATACATACAACTCATAAACTTTAAGGCCAGAAGAGACCATTGTGACCATCTACTCTGATCACCTGCACCTCATAGGCCACATAACCTCACCAACCACCTCTTGTAATAGATCCATAATCTCTGGCTGAATTACTGAAATCCTCAAATCATGATTTAAAGACTTCCAGTTACAGAGAATCAGGGCTGGCACTTCCACTAGGCGACCCTAGGCAGTCGCCTAGGGTGGCAGGATTTGGGGGGCGGCATTTTGCCGCCCTCAGCGGAAATTCAGCGGCAGGGGGTCCTTCCGCTTGGAAATTCGGCAGCAGGTCCTTCACTCGCTCCGGGACCCGCCGCCGAAGTGCCCTGAAGACGCAGAGTGGAAGGACCCCCGCCGCCGAAGACCCCAGGCCCCCTGAATGCTCAGAGGAGGAGCGCTGCCGCCTAGGGCGGCAAAAACCCTGGCGCCGCTCCTGCAGAGAATTCACCATTTACTCTGCTTTAAACCAGCAAGTGACCTGTGCCTGATGCTTCAGAGGAAGGCAGAAAAACCCCAGGGTCTCTGCCAATCTGACCTGGGGGGAAATTCCTTCCCAACCCCAAATATAGCGATCAGTTGGACCCTGAGCATGTTGGCAAGACCTCCCAGACAGACACCTGGGAAAGAATTCTCTGTAGTAGAGCCCTCCCTATCTACGACCATTGGGGATATTTGCTACTAGCAGTTACAGATGATCCACATGCCATTGTAGGCAATCTCATCATACCAACCCCTCCATAAACTTTTCAAGCTCAGTCTTGAAGCCAGTTAGATTTTTTGCTCCCCTTGGAAGACTGTTCCAGAACTTCACTCCTCTGATGGTTACAAACCTTCATCTAATTTCAAGCCTCAACTTGTTGATGGCCAGTTTATATCCATTTGTACTTGTGTCAACATGGGCACTTAACTTAAATAACTCCTCTCCCTCCCTGGGATTTATCCTTCTGATATATTTATAGAGAGCAGTCATATCTCCCTTCAGCATATCTCCCTTCAGCCTTTGTTTGGTTAGGCTAAATAGGCCAAGCTCCTTGTATCGCCTCTCATTAGTAGGCTTTTCATTCCTCTGATCATCCTAGTAGCCCTTCTCTTCACCTGTTCCAATTTGAATTCATCTTTCTTAAACATGGGAGACCAGAACTTCACACAGTGTTCCAGAGGTCTCACCAGTGCCTGTATAATGGCAATAACACTTCCCTGTCTCTACTGGAAATACCTCGCCTGATGCATCCTAGGATTGCATTAACATTTTTTCACAGCTTCATCGCGATGGCGGCTCACAGTCATCCTGTGATCAATCAGTACATCCAGGTCTTTCTCCTCCTCTGTCACTTCCAACTGATACGTCCCCAGCATATTATAAAAAATGCTTGTTGTTAGTCCCTAAGTATGTGACCTTGAACTTTTTACACTATTAAATTTCATTCCATTTCTATTACTCCAGCTTTCAAGGTCATCCAGCTCTTGTATAATATTCCAGTTCTCCATACTGGCAGTTCCTCTCAACTTTGTGTCATCCTCAAATTTTATTAGCATACTCCCACTTCCTGTGCCAAGGTCATGAATGAAAATGTTAAATAAGAGTGGTCCCAACACTGATCCCTGACAAATTCCACTAGTGACCTCCCTCCAGCCTGACAGTTCACCTTTCAGCATGTCCCGCTGGAGTCTCCCCTTTCATCAATTCCTTATCCACCTTTCAGTTCTCATATTAATCCACATCTTCTCCAATTTAACTAATACTTTCCCATGTGAAACTGCATCAAATGCCTTATTGAAATCCAAGTAGATTAGATTGCTGCCTTTCTTTTGTCTAAAAAATCAGTTATCTTCTCAAAGAAAGAGCTCAGGTTGGTCTAGCACGATCTACCTTTTATAAAACCATGTATTTTATTCCAGTTACTGTTTTCTTCTATGTCCTTAACTACTTTCTCTTTCAAAATTTGTTCCAGGCCCTTGTATACAGTTGAGGTCAAACTAACGGGTTTGTAGTTTCCTGGTTTGCTTTTTTCCCCTTTCTTAAAAATAGGTACTATGTTAGCAATTCTCCAGTAATATGGTAGGACCCCCGATTTTACAGATTCATTAACTCCCCTCTATCCCTCCCCTCCATCAATGTTGTCCTCAAATAATCTTTATAATCTTGCTTCATTTGTTAAAGAAAATACATACATAAGTGTAGATTTGGCCTCGTATTTGCAATACTTACAACTTTCAAACAATTACCACATTTCTCAGTTCCTTCTCATAGTGCCTATGGGATACAATTTTCCATGTTTGGCTTCTGCCCATAGGTGTGTGGGGGGGGGCGGTGAGCAATGGCACATAAAAAGCCTGTAGTGAGGGGTGCATATTATAAACTTGAACGGTTGATTGGATCATAAAGTTATAAGCAACTGAAAAATTGCTTCTTAACATACTCAGAAGTATCTGCTTCTGATCAGGCACAATCTTTCATCTCCAAACTTGGTACACCCTAACATGTGTACCAATAGGGCTTTTGTCTTTGGATAGTGGATCAATGAAAGAGCTTAGAGGGAAAGTGTCACCTAAATCTAAGGTCCCTTATATATAATACAAGCGTGATATACTGCATCAGATCTCTGTTATGATACGCTTTCCAATTATATGATTACACACAATATAATATATTTTGTAAATTGTAATCTATGAACTAAATTCTCTGCTGGTGTAAATTAATTGATTTCAATTAATCTACATCAGTTTTCACCAACGAAGAATCTGACCCTATATTTTTTTTCCTATACAACGTTTGATATCCTTACTTTTGACTGCTTAAATGTGCAAACATAACTTAGCAATAACATCATTTTTGCATTTCATTACATATAGTTCAATAGGAAAGTTTATGCTGAAGAGGGTATATCACAACATGTAAGCTTTTATGATATATCGAAAAATTAAAACACATAATATGACTTCTATGTTTTACTTTTTTCTTTTGATGTATTGTTTACATAGATGAATTCAAGCGTGCTGTGTATGTAGCTACAGGCCTGAAGCTTTCAGCACATTTGGTGAACACAGTCTTCAAGATCTTTGATGTTGACAGAGATGACCAGCTGAGTTATAAAGAATTTATTGGCATTATGAAGGACAGATTGAATCGAGGGTTCAGGGTAAGAATATCAATATTATGTTTATTTTAATTGATTCAGAATTGTCAAAGTAGTGAAAGTAGCCTCTGAACTAACAGCTGATTGAATCTTTATATTTTGAAAGACTTAGGAAACAGTCTGGAAGATTAATCTCTTCCTGATTTGTAGAAGTTTGTTATTCTGGAAGAACCATAGATGGGGGGCAGGATGTGCCTTTACAGTACAGGACCACCTCGGAAGTGCAGAGTGCTGTCCTGTACACGCTGCCATTTCTGCTGGTTGGTGTGGAGTGGTTTGGGGCTGGAGGTTTTAACAGGTACTGTGTTTGTGCCTGGACCATTGGCAGAGGAGAAAAGAGGAAGGTGCCTTCCACCTGAGGCCTTGTGTATCTGTGCAAAGGCAGTTACTGACAATGGGTGTCTGCAACAGATACAGCTGATCAAGGTTTTAATTAGTGAAATTAACAATTAGTGAAACCATGCTGAGCATGATTAGCTGCAAGTGTAGCCATGGACCAAACTATATATCTGTGTTCAGCACCAGTTAAGACTCTCTTTTCAGCAGCAGCTGTGAGGCTTGGGATTTTTTGTTTGTTTGTTTTTGTATAAACAAGGTTATTGTGGCCCACAGCTACTTTTTAATAATTTAGGTCTGTTTCTAGCAGATTTAAAGTCAACATTACAACCCAGGAAGATGGGTAGGGAATAGGAAATCACTTGCTAAAAGTTGGAGAAAATGAGCCTGTAAACTGACTGGAGCTTTGCCATGGGGCAGATCTGTAAACGTCACTACTCTCTACACTCTTCCCAGTCCACCAGCAAAGGAAGGGAATTTTGGGAGTGTCAAAGTTTAAAGGAGAATTTTTAAATAACATTGGACAATTGGGACCTACACCTGAACATCGTTGCATAGTGGTGTTATGTGATTGCATAGCTATTTTGCTAGACTTATGAGTTGATTTGGGATTTAGAAATAATTTTAGATTTTATTTTTAAATGGAGCAGTTAGAAAAATTCAGGTATCATTTTAGAATGACCATATGAAGTCCCACGTTTTTCTTACTGTTTTTTATATAGCAATATCACAAATTATTTATTTAAAGTTAGTTTTTAAATGTAATATGCTCTTTTCAAACTGACAATATAACCATTTAGATACAAGCTTTAAACTCATACTATAGAGTACAGTACTTGTTAAATTGAAATTTGGATTTGTTTTTTCATAATATTTTATCCACTGTATTACTCACTTTTAAAGTAGAATAGATTTCTAAATTGACTAATTAATGTTAGGTCTTGTGTAGAAGGTGATGTTGAATCTTGTAGGTGGCTTGGCTTTCTTTGTTGTATTTTGACCCTGTGAAGAAAACATGTTGATGACATTCCTTCAGAAGTGGTGACACAAATGTATTTCCTGCTGATGCTCAAACCATAATTTTTTTTTTTTTTTTTGTCGAAGTATAGTTGTTTTATAACCATTAGATGTTTAACTGCATGATTAACTATGTTAACTAATTGTAAAGGTGTAGTATATGTTAACTTAAGTTACTAAATAATTCTTGTGAATATGGAGTATATGTATGCTTCTTTTTAATATTATTAAAAAGCAGGACGGAAATCAAATATAAGCTTTAAAAGTCATCTTTATCAGACACTATTTTGCTTTCCATGTACCATGCTTTCCTTTATAGGCAACTTGAAAAGCTCTTGGCCCACAAAATAGGGAGTATACTGCACACGCTAGGCTAGATTGTGATATCTATGGGGGGAGGGAGGGATAGCTCAGTGGTTTGAGCATTGGCCTGCTAAACCCAGGGTTGTTAGCTCAATCCTTGAGGGTGCCATTTAGGGAACTGGGGTAAAAATCTGTCTGGGGATTGGTCCTGCTTTGAGCAGGGGGTTGGACTAGATGACCTCCTGAGGTCCCTTTCAACCCTGATATTCTATGATTCTATGATCTTTACTCAGACTGAGTGGCACCTTGCTCCACAAGTGATCCCATTGATTTCAATGGAACTACTCTAGGAATCAGGTGCTACTCACAGTGTGTAAGGGTATCAAAATTTGGTCCCATACTATAGGGACAACAATGATATAGTCACTTTTATTTTTTAATTGTATTTATTTATTTTTCTTACAAGGGTTATAACTACCCATTGCCTTGTCATATGATTCCTAAAAATATATTATTTTCCCCGGGAAAGTAGAACTCCAGGACACGCTCGAAATAAACTTCATGGTGCGAGTATCAGTTTTTAGCAAGCTTTCAGAAATAATGCAGAAAACATGTCAGTATATACCATGTGTAAGTAATGGTGTCTGTTGTAAACCTCTTGCAAAACTCTCTTTTTTTTTTTTAATAAAGTCTAATAAAAAACAAACATTATTGAGTTGTAGAATGAAAAGGAAAAAGGGCATAGCATGTAGCACCTTACTGCTTTTTAAGTGCCCAAATTGGCAGGAAGTATCTATGATCTTTCAAGCTGCAGAAAGTTGCAGATATGGCCTCAGGGGCCAGGATAATTTCTTTCCAACTAATTTGACCTTGCAGAATTATACAGTATTTATTATTGCCAAAGCAAGTACATTGTAACTCTTTAGTCACCATTATAGTCACATTTATAGTGTGCTGAAGCAGTTGTCTCATGCTAAACTGAAATTAACATATAAGTAACAAAGCTAAGGGATGGTAGGAAGGAAAACAGCACAATAAAGATATTGGATTTCAAGAAGTCAGACTTTAGCAAACTCAGGGAAATGGTAGGTAAGACCATGGGAAGCAAGTGTAAGGAGAAAAACAGTTCAAGAGAGATGGCAGATTTTCAAAGAGACATTATTAAGAGCACAAGAGCAAACTATCCCACTGCAAAGGAAAGATAGAAAGTATGGCTAGAGACCACCCTGGCTTAACAAGTACATCTTCAATGATTTGAAACTCAAAAGAGTCCTACAAAAAGTGGAAAATAAATCAAATTACAAAGGATGAATATAAATAAACAACGCAAGCAAGTGGTGACAAAATTAGAAAGGTCAAGGCACAAAATGAGTTTAAATTACCTAGAGACATAAAGGGTAACACGAAAACCCCAAGGATAGGGTAGGCCTGTTAATTCAGTGGGGGGAGAAGAACAATAACAGGAAATATGGAACTGGCAGAAGTGCTAAATGACTTTCATGTTTCAGTTTTCACCAAAAAGATTAGTATCAACTGGATATCTAACTTAATGAATGCCAGTGAAAATTAGGCACGAGCAGAGGCTAAAATAGGAAAGAACAAGTTAAAAATTACTTAGACAAGTTAGATGTCTTCAAGTCACCAAAGCCTGATGAAATACATTCTAGAATACTCAAGAAGCTGACTGAGGAGATATCTGAGCCATTAGCAATTATCTTTGAAAAGTCATGGAAGATAGGACAGATTCCGGAGGACTGGAAAAGGGCAAATATAGTGCCCATCTATAAAAAGGGAATAAGGACAACCCAGGGAATTACAGACCAATCAACTTAACTTCAGTACCCATAAAGATAATGGAGCAAATAATTAAGCAATCAATTTGCAGACACCTAGAAAATAATAAGTCAGCATGGATTTGTCAAGAACAAATTGTGTCAAATCAACCTAATTGCTTTCTCTGGCTTGTGGATAGGGGGGAAGTGGTAGATGTGGTATATCTTGACTTTAGTAAGGCTTTTGATATTGTCTCACATGATCTGCTCATAAACAAACTAGGGAAATACAACTGAGATGGAGCTACTATAAGGTGGGTGCATAACTGGTTGGAAAACCATTCCCAGAGAGTAGTTATCAGTGACTCACAGTCAAGCTGGAAGGGCATAACGATTGGGGTCCTGTAGGGATCAGTCCTGGGTCCGGTTCTGTTCAATATCTTCATCAGTGATTTAGATAATGGCATAGAGAGTACACTTATAAAGTTTGCAGGCGATACTAAGCTGGGAGGGGTTGCAAGTGCTTTGGAGGATAGGATTAAAATTCAAAATGATCTGGACAAACTGGAGAAATGGAAGTAAATAGGGTGAAATTCAATAAGGACAAGTGCAAAGTACTCCACTTGGGAATGAAAAATCAGTTATACACATACAAAATAGGAAATGACTGCCTAGGAAGGAGTACTGCAGAAAGGTATCTGGAAGTCGTAGCAGATCACAATCTAAATATGAGTCAACAGTGTAACACTGTTGCAAAAGAAAGCGAACATCATTCTGCATATGCGGGAGTGTTGTAAGCAAGACACAAGAAGTAATTCTTCTGCTCTATTCCACTCTGATTAGGCCTCAACTGGATTATTGTGTCCTGGGTGCTACATTTCAGGAAAGATGTGGACAAATTGAAGAAAGTCCAGAGAAGAGCAACAAAAATTATTAAAAGTCTAGAAAACATGATCTGTGAGGGAAGATTGAAAAAACTGAGTTTGCTTAGTCTGAAAAAGAGAAAACTGAGGGGGAACATAACAGTTTTCAAGTATTTAAAATATTGTTACAAGGAGGAGGGAGAAAAATTGTTCTCCTTAACGTCTGAGATTAGGGCAAGAAGCAATGGGCTTAAAAGGCAGCAAGGTAGGTTTAAATTGGACCTTAGGAATAACTTCTTAACTTTCAGGGTGATTAAGCACTGGAATAAATTGCCTAGCGAGGTTGTGAAATCTCCATCTTTGGAGATTTTGAAGAGCAGATTAAACCAAACACCTGTCAGCTATGGTCTAGGTAATGTTTAATCCTGCCTTGAGTGCTGGGGACTGGACTAGAAGACCTCTCGATTCTAGAAGACCTTCCAGTCCTATGATTCTATGAAGTGGTTTCTTAATAAATATAATGATGTGTTAAGTCCATAGCAAGTTTTGCAAATTCCATTTGCTAAGAACATAACTGGGTGAGACTAATAGCCCTCTAGCCCAGTATCCTGTCTTCTGACAGTGGCCAGAACTAGATGCTCCAAAGTGAATGAACAGAACCGGGCAAATTATCGAGCGATCCATCCGCTATCATCCCCAGAGCATGGGGTTG